TACCTGCTGGTGGTGGGGCGCAGGCCCTGGGGGAGCTGGGAAGATCTCCCTGTGGGCCCAACATTTAATAACTGCCATTTCTCTCTCCCTAGCAATGGTGGACGTGATCTTTGCTGACGTGGCCCAGCCTGACCAGACCCGGATCGTGGCCCTGAATGCCCACACCTTCCTGCGTAACGGAGGACACTTTGTGATTTCTATTAAGGTGAGAGTCTTGTGGGAGCCTAAGATGGGTGGGAGAGTCCCAAGGAGTCTTTCATCTGTGTCTTGACAAGCAGCCAGTCAAAACAAAGAGGCCTCCATCCCCCGTAATCCAGTCAGTCCATTCCCAGCCACTATTCCTACCCTAGCCTCCTACCCCCTGGCCTCCCGCTCCCAACCAAATAACACGATAGAAAAAATGTCTGTGAAGCTAAAAGCTTTGTATTTTAAGAGGTAATAGAATACAGTGGTCAAGGGCGTGGTTGCTGAGTCTGACCACCTGAGTTTGAATCCCAGCATGCTGTGTGACTTTGAGCAAGTCACGTAGCCTCTGTGCGCCTCTGTTTCTTCATTTGTAGAATAGAGATATTAGTTCTGTCTTTTTAAGGGTTGATGTAAGGATTAAATGTATCAGTATATTGAAAGTGTATAGAACAGAGCCTGGTATAGAATAAACACTAGGTAAATTTAAATGCTAGGTGCATTTTTAAAAACTTGTTATTTTGTAATACAGACAACTCTTCTATGTACCCTTTACCTAGATTTACCATCTGTTAGCCTTTTCCTACATTTATGTTATTATTCTCAGCTGTATTATTACTCGTATTTCTCAAAGGAAGAAGAAAAAAGCCTGTATAAAATTTAAAACTGACTTTTATGATAAACTTGGTTTTGTTTAAAGCCTTCTGGTCCAAATTCTGGAGCCCTGGTGGTGCAGTGGTTAAGAACTTAGCTGCTAACCAAAAGGTCAGCAGTTTGAATCCACCAGCTGCTCCTTGGAAACCCTATGGGGCAGTTCTGCTCTGTCCTGTCGGGTCGCTATGAGTCAGAATCGACTCAATGGCAATGGGTTTTTGGTCCAAATTCAAACAAACTAAATTAATTATGTAGCGAAAAATTTCCCCACATTTTCAAAACCTTTCCGTACACCAAAAAAATCCAAAGCAGTTGCCACTGATTCCGACTCATGGTCACCCCACGTGTTTTAGAGTAGAACCCCACGCACTCCATGGGGTTCTCAACGGCCGTGCTCTTTTGCTGCAGGAGAGTCAAAAATGATCCTGGGTTTTCTTTTCTGTTTTGTTTTTGGCCTGAGTTTCACTGCATTTCCATTGGAAACAAATCCCTCTGGTTGACAGAGCACAGAAAGGGGAAAACAGCCCCCGTCTCTCCGCAGACTTCATACCCTCTCCTCCCGCAGGCCAACTGCATCGACTCCACAGCCTCCGCCGAGGCCGTGTTCGCTTCTGAAGTGAAGAAGATGCAGCAGGAGAACATGAAGCCCCAGGAGCAGCTGACCCTCGAGCCGTACGAGAGAGACCACGCTGTGGTCGTGGGTGTGTACAGGTGAGCAGGGCCCCGTCCCCCCGGGCCCGAGCCCTGTC